TGTAAAGTAATAGCATGTACGTTTCTCATGTCCATACCAGCATACTATTTACCTCAGTAAATTCATGATAAACAAATTATTATCATAATTATTTTTATGATAATGAATAGCAGAATAACAGGATATTAGAGGTTATATGCAAAAAGTTCAGACTTGAAATGTTATCGTCTTAAACACCTACGCCACCAGGACTCCCCAAACGAGTTATTAGATTAATACATAGTTTGTACAGGGTTTACATATGGCATCCAGGCTCTGACCTAATCTCTCCCTGCCAGCGTACACTGAGCCTACAGGTAGATGCTTGGAAATGGTAGATTAGCTGAGTATGAAGGCTTTTTTACAGCAATGCCCCAATTGACAGGAGACATCTGGTGATTCCAACAGTCGGGGGATGTTACTCTTGGTACTGTTAAGTAAGCAAATAGTTTAGGATGATAAATCCCCCTACAGTAGCTACTCATTGTCTGAGCTGCATTCCACCTGTTTGCTTCACAGGTTGTGGTATATTTACTATTGTTTTGCTCTATTACAGTTAAAAGAGAACAACATGTATGGTGTGTGTTTTTTAATGCATCACCTCCAAAGGTTGTTTGGTCAACTGGATCTTCTGTGTGCATATGCACTTGGGTTAATATGCATGTGGCCCTGTTCCAACACAACCCAAACACACCGAATACATGTTAATGCCAGCTGTAAAGAGAGACGCATTGATTCAGAAGTGTTTACCCAGTTCTCCTACAGTCAATGAGCAAAGTGTTGAATACTTGGATGCATTTCAAAATGCCAGGGTGGACCATAACAAGAATTTTTGTGGAATAAATTGTTGCCGTACATAAACAAAGCCTTACAGTGTTGTTACGTCACTGTAGTAATACAGTGCATTAATTATCGGTGTTAGTATGCTGTCAATCATACTGCCTCAAATGTCCCCAACTCATCACATTTATATTTAAATAATATAGAGGTGCCAGAGTGTGGGGGGAATGATGGATCTGTGGCAGACTCATTTTAAAAATCAATCTTTCATTACTGATGCTTAGAAGCTGTTTCAATTGTAATGAATGAAGCACAGCACCGTCAGCCGCTGACAGATAATAATACTTCAAACACAATCCAGTACTCAGCTTTATATAACCAAAGCAAAGACTTCATCTTTTATTCATGTTTTTAGGACGTTCAGTGCACTTGTTGCTTTCTTCGTGAAGCATGAAGCTTGTGACTGTTCACCCACTGATCAGATCAATAACCTATGTGGCTATGTCAAGCTTGCGAAAGAGGCTCGGCTCCCCCTGCTCTTCCTCCTGCATTGGCTTTTTAAACAGTTACACACACGAAGAAACTTGACCAGCTTTCCAAGGCCAATAACAAAACACAAAGGATTTATGGAGACATTGATATCCCAATATTTAGGCAGAGATAGCTTAGTGGTGGTAATTATACTGAGCACTCAAACACACAAAAATGCGTACAATAATACATGGGCAAACACACACACATAGGCACTAGTGCATGTGAAAACACAAAAATACACATGCACAAAGAACACCCAGTGCTTAGTAGAATAAACTGATGATATTAGACCAAATTGTGAGGGAAGAAATGTCTTTGTACACTTTGTGAGAAGCGCATATGTTCTAATAACAACTGAGTCATAAATCATTTTGATGTCCAGATAAAATAAACCATATATGTCAAGGATGAAAGTAAGTTTGGATTCACTGTCCTCACACTGGAAGAATCTGACTTATTTCTGATAAATTAGGTTTGGTCAGAGTTCTGTCTTTGTCTGGCAGCTGTTAAGAAAGAAGAAAATTAGACTGATGCTTTTTAAATATACAGTATGTTAAATATTAGATAACCTACATGCAGTAAATGCATTTGCAAAGTCTTCGATCACACGGCAGAAAAGATTCAAATTTGTCATTAGTTATAACTTAAATCAACATGGACTTTTACGTACCATAACATTTCAAAATGAGTGAAAATCTGAAGCCTTTAACAGCATAAAAAACAATATGTACAATAAGTGTTTAGTAAAAAAAAAAGGATTGCAAATTTTTTAGGACATTGAACTGATCTGTAACTACAAAAGGGCTTTAATGTTTCTGAAATGTGTGAACCGGTAGACTCTTAAAAATAAAAAATAAAAAAATGTAATTAATAATAATATATTTTTAAAAATATAAATATATTTTTACATACATGCACTCACTAGGACACAGTGTATACATGAAGCAAATGTGCGTAAACCAGACCTAAAATTAGTTGGTTTTCCTACCTCCAGAATCTGTCCTCTGCTTTACAATCCAGTGATTTGATAATCCAGAAGCTTTTACATCCACAACACAAAGGATCATTATAAAGTGTTTGTCAGCAGCTTTTTGGTGTCTCTTCCTCTTCTGCTAAGTTATGAATGTCTGTTTTTGTGTGTGTGACACATACACACACACACACACACACAGACACACACACACCCACTGCCTCGCTCTCTCTTTCCAGTACACGCTCATGCATAAACACACTCTTTCAGCCTTCAACCACACTTGCCCTTTTGAAGCAGCTGAGCCCGTCACCCTTTTTTATAAGCAAGCCCTCATGACATCACAGCAGGACAGTAGCCTATCAGAGGACAAGGACTGGCTTTTAGTGTATATCGCATGTCTGCAGTGTACTGACAGCTCGACAGCACCCAGTGCTCTCTGGGACACATTAGTTTTTTAACCTTTATTTATTCAGGGGAGGCTTTTTGAACTCTTTTTCAGCACCACCATACTTCACATTCACACATGGGGCTGCTGTAAAAAACCACATACTGTTTAACATACTGTACTGGCTTCTGAGGTAGTGTGCTGGTTGGCACACTCAAACAACTCAGCTAAGCTTGGGTTGAGGTTGTTGTGGTAGGCAGATAAAACCGTTGTCAGCAGTAGACAAATACTTACAATGCTGCGAGTTGAATCCAGGTCAGTGGCACTGGGGGTAAATGTTCACACGGCAAGGCATTGTGTTCAGCAATATGAGTTCTGCCTCTTGTTTTATGATTAATAGAGTATACATATGGGATATAAGAGGAGACTCAGACAGTCACAGTAGTCACAGCTTCAGCCCTGTGTTTTGTAAATTGATAACTCAGTTAGCTTTATTTGATAATTGATGATTTGACACACGCCTGGATGTTTTAGGATGTTGTCAGAGGAACATCTGTAAGGCAAAACCTGCAAAAGTGCAGGTTGATTCAGCTGACTTAAATGATTTTGCGAGAGGAACATTTTATTTGTATAGCGTCAATTTACAACAACAGTTAACTCAGGACACTTTTCAAATAGAGCACGGTACTCCTTCTAAAATTATTTACAGAGACCCAACAGTTCCCACCATGAGCAAGCACTTGGCGACAGCGGCAAGGAAAAACTTCCTTTTAAAAGGCAGAAACCTCGACTGCCTCGACCAGTTGGGGTTAAAGACAGTGAGAGGGAGAGGGGGGCTATGGGGGTTAGAGGGGCAGGGGGTGGATGTTAAAGAGAAAAGGGCAGAGACACAGCAACAGCAACAACAACAGCAACAACTATACTGGTAGAAATGACTAATAATGATGATAATGATGATGTGGATTGGATGTTGACAGTTCAGAATGATGCATGTGCAGAGTTTGGCCACTAGAAACCTATTAAATCTGAGAATAAAACATGTATGTATGAGCAGGATTTTGTGACATTACAACTAGTCATGGACCAGTATGCAACTTCCACAAGTGTGATGTTGAAATGTGAAACCTCCAGTGTACATACACTGAGGAAGAACATTACAGTGCAGTATGTGACATCTTGTGTCTTGACAAATATCTGCAAAACACAAATTGTCCCAGGTTTTACCACAATTCAAATAATAATTCTAATATACTTGTTTTCAGCACTCATATAAACATTTTTCACTCATTATAATTATAAAAACATAAACAATGTACCATGCATCTAAATTCAACACTGATTTGTCTGTATGTGTCAATCAATAAATGTGTTGTTGTCAAGGTTGTTGCTAAGGCAAGTGTCATAGGCTATGACACAGAAACTGTCAGTATGCTATAACTTAGCTGTCATGCTGAAGAGAAAGTCTGTATTTTCTATAGAGCTCCAGGAGGTTTACTCCTTTGTCAACCAGTGAAGTAGTGTATTCGGTAGGTGTGCTAAGTGCAGACATATTTGTCTCCCATATGATGGCAACACTTATGGAGCATACAAAAGCGCATGTGCACACACATGAACGTTAGGTACACTTTAAGAGTTTAAAAATGTGGTTGATCTAGTCAAATTTGGGAAATTATCAATATTTGAGTATTCGTATATTCAGAAGATTATTTTTACATGTCTTAAAACATATCTGGAGTGGATTTTTAAGAGTTGTAAATTTGATGCCATTGTTAGATTGTGTCATTGCCAGACTCTGGCGCCCCCAGTAGTATTACAGTATGAAAAAATATTGTAGTAGAGAGTTTAATGGACAGAGAGAAAAACTGCATGAATGTTCTCTGGTATATTTTTCTCCATGCAAAACTAAGGTAAGGGCCATCTGAATAATTTAAATGATGCTATAATTGAAGGACAACCCCCCAGAGTCAGTTTAAGGTAGTCCATTCAACTAAATCCTGAGTCAATTCTGTCCTTGCAATGACAGAGGAATCGCACAAAGCTAAATAAACTTCCTCTCTTCTAACCTCATTATGGTGGACCTGTCTGTTGTGATCAGCATAGTGAACCACCAGATTAATGCAAAAAACCATAAGACCAACAGGGAATCCACAGGGATCAGTTCTGGGTCCCTTGCTAACACCCCACTTCACAATTCCCTGTAGCCCTCAAGGCAGTGAAGAAATGTTCTTATCTACATCCAAGCCACAATCAAACCTTGCACACTACCATGTTAATCTGATGTGTGTGGTTGATTCTGTCCTGGCCCCAAAATAACTCCTCTCTGTTTAAAGTGGTTGTATACCACAGACTGTACCCGGCTAAGTATTGTTCATGCATCATTGAACACAGTGTTCTGTCTGCTTAATGCTGGTGCACGTACACAACAAAACACCCACACCTTCCCTTTTAGGCTTAGTTTGTCAAGAAGCCCAGAGCAACATCTATGTGGCCAAAGGGACTGATTAGTGATAACATTCTGATCATAGTGATTAATCTTCACTTTCTGAGTCAGTTATGTTCTGACAACCCAGCTGATCTGCAGTCATTATTCTGGTTAGAAACAGTCCGTCTGTTTGTGCTGTCATCCTTCAGTAGAGCTGCAGACAGTTCATTTGAAGGACTTTCAACTTGCACACTTGTTCACACTGTAATGTGTCCTCCTATGAGAAAGGCGACCATATCCTCCTGTCTGTCTGTCTGTCTGTCTGGCTCCAACACATTCCTCTCCACACCTCTTCCTGTCCTTGTACAGTCCCTTCCTCTCTCTCTCCACATCCTACTCTCACTGCCACACCTTCTCACTCCTAAAATGTCCATCCCTTGATATCATAGCTCTGCTCGCTATACAGAGCTGATTCTTGTCTATATTTTTTTCTTCTACTCAACTGTCTCAAAGTTGCTCTTTGTTTTTTCTGCTCTCACTTGTTCTCAACACTGGTCCATCTGAATGATTCACTGATGTATTATTCATGACTTTGTATGTACAAAGTTTTGAAACCCTGCAGAGTTGTGACATAAATCAAGTTTACATTAAATATAATGGTCCCCCAATTACATTTTGACAAACAGAATTAAGAAATGTTTTTAATGAACCTATATACGGCACACCGATCAGTCACAACATTATGACCACTGACTGGTGAAGTGAATAACACTGATTATCTCATTATCATGGTACCTGTCAGTGGGTGGAATATATTAGGCAACAAGTGAACATTTTGCCCTCAAGGTGATTAGAAGCAGGAAAAATTAGGAAATGAGACGACTGGGTCAGAGCATCT